TAAAATTTTGTGAAACTTTCATCAAAAGAGGTCAAACCGCCAATAATTAGTGATTTCTTGACTTCTGTTCTACACTTAAGTTTAAGTGCAAAACACAATAATTTGCATTTAATTGTCATTTATTATAGGAATTGTTTATGAAGTTAATTCGTATTTTTAACAGTAATTATTGAGACAATTACTATAAAAGTTTTTATTTGTTCCACTATTTTGATTAGAAGTGAAAAGTTGTTTTGTTTTATCATTTGATTTCAATTCATTTCGAAACTCTTTTCTCTGATCAGTTTTTTCTGTTTAAATAAAACAATTTTATATTTATTGTATTAATAGCTGCGGAAACCTTTCAAATAACCATTACTTCTATTTATACAACAATTTCATGATTTGTTAAAAACGTTTACAAAAAAGAAATTACAGTAAAAATAATTAAAAAAGATTTCATGATTAACTCAAACATACATTGAATACACTTTTGGCTTATATTTCTTTATCACAATAAAACAATTTACTCAATGACTGAATGTCCCAAAAATTAAATACAAATATTTCCTGAAAGGTCTGTACGGAGAAAGTCATGGAATGGTTCAGAACTACATGTATGACCCGAAGGAGAAGGACATGTTCCTGATGGCCCCGCACCCAAACGCCTCCCACCCCCACTGGTGGAACGGTGCCGAACCCATTTGGATTAACGCCGAGAAGCAGGGCTTGAGAACAGGAGTTTACTGGTGGGACGGGTGTCAGGTCAAGATCAAAGGCAAAGAGCCCACGCATTGTCTGGAGTACCAGAGCTACTGGACGTGGTCTAAGCCGGTCGAGGATACCATCAATGCTTTGTTCGAGATTCTCGATAACTTCGAGTCCGACGACTGGCACTTAGGACTCGTGTATTACGAGGCCATCGATGCTATGGGACACGCCTTCGGCTCGGAGTCCAAAGAGCGGGTCGAAGCCGTCCAGGATTTCGACAAAATCTTAGCCACACTTCAGGACGAAATCGACAAAAGGAATCTACAAAACGAGGTATCATTTGGTGTTTGAACAGTGGTTTACATTACATTTATTAAAATATTGAGAAATTTATTTTTTTAATGTCAGGTGAATGTGGTTGTAGTGAGTGATCACGGGATGATTGAAATCGATGAAAACCGCAATACAAAAATGATTAACATTGAGAATATTGTGAATGCGGATGATGTGCAGGTGATGCTGGACAGGGGCACCACAGCCTTCATAATACCCAATCCCAACAAAGAAGCAAAAGTCGGTTCTTCACCATTTGTTTTAGAAGTTTCTATTTTTAAACTTTATATTCAAAGTGAAATTGAATTTAATTATAGATTTTGGATGCATTGACTAAAGCGAAGACAAAAGGCTTAAAGTTTTACAAAAAGGATGAAATCCCTGTGAAATATCACATCAAAAACAATCGAAGAGTTTCGCCAATACTTCTGATCGCAGAGAAGGGATATTTTGTGAGAGGAGTAGGTATTAAATATAGAGTTTTCTAACACTTGACTTAATTTTGAATTTTCTAATTTAGTTTTCACAGGAATCTAAAACTAAACCTGTTTGGGATGTACTCTACGGGCAAGTGTTTCATAAATATAATAAACCGGTTTCGCAGAAAATCTAATTTTAAACCCTCACACAAT